CAAGATATCAAACCTACGTTTTGCTGATGACACGGTATTGGTAGCCGCCAACCAGCTGGAACTGAGGACGATTCAAACAAGATTGAAAACTGCGAGTAGAGAGCCTTTGCATCAATTACAGAAAGACTAAGGTGATGATCGTAGATCGCGAAAACAACAACTGCCCAGACATCACAAACATAGATCGCTGCGAATTTGTGCAACAATTTATTTATTTAGGTGCACTTATATCTAATACCGGTAGTTGCGAAATTGAAATACGCCGCAGAATTCAATTGGGCCGTAACGCTATGACGCAGCTCACGAAAGTTTGGTCGAATAGTCACATAACACAATCGACAAAAATCAATCTTGAAAATAGTCTTGTCTTTCCGGTTATGCTTTATGCATCTGAGACATGGACATTGTTGGCAGCCGACAGACGACGCATTGACGCCTTCGAGATATGGTGCTGGAGGAGGATGTTGCGAATACCATGGACAGCACATCGCACCAAATGTGTCGGTCCTTAATGCAATCCAATTACCACAAAGACTTTCCAGCATTGTCTATAAACGCATTCTTTCCTTCTTCGGTCACGTCAACAGGAGCGGGCATATGGAGAGACTTGTAGTGCAGGGAAGACCTGCAGGATCCCGTCGCCGAGGAAGATCGCCAACCAGGTGGGTGGACATGGTTGAAAAACTTATGAATACAAACCTGGAGGGTGCCGTTCGAAGAACTGAAAACAAAGAAAATTGGAGACGGGCGGTGCGTGCGGCTTATTCTTATTCTTTAATATTTTTTTTAGTCTTATTCTTTAATATTTATTAACTTGTTATTTTCCTAATTTTCTGTGTCATTTTGCTCAATAATAAAACTTTAGATTAAATACCTTTGGGCTTTAATGTATCCCTTTACGTTCCCAATATCGGACATGTGCGATATTAGGCACACCTAGTATCCGATATTGGGAACCCAGTTTTAAAATAACGATTTATGCACTTTTGTGATTTTTTCACGATTTTTCGATTTTCACGATGTGAAGATTTACCAACGTGTAGGTGCTCTTGGGTGATATTAAGGATTTTTTGTTGATCAAAATAAAAAAGTATCCGATAATAGGTTACTTTCCTCTATAGAAGAAAGGTAATGCCATAAAGGAAGTTTTAAACAAAAATAAATTGGAAATAGAGATAATAAAACGAACACCTAAATGTATTTTTTTGTTTATTTTATTATTATTATTATTATTAGACTCTGAAAATAATTTTCTGTTATTGAGTTTATTATTAAGAGTTATTTTTTACTTTTTAGTCCCATCTGGTATAAAAGCACGCTTCTTGCATTGTTTTTATTAAACTGCTGTTTATCCACTCTTTGTTAAAACATAGGACAAAGCCGACGTAGTTTTTCAGAGACGCAGTATAAATATCTTTCTGGACGAGGATCACACAAGCGCCCATGTTCGGACAAGAACGTGACAGATCGCAAACGGCCCGGTCTGGATGGAACAGCAGCCAACAAAGTGCTTTGTCCGTGGAGCGCGGTGTATTATTCACCGCTGGACGCGGGACATGTTTATGTAGCCGATAATGGAGGACATAAATAATAAATCGGCCGGCTGGACAACAAACGGCCAGAGGACGGCGAAGGAAGGTGGAAGGGGGCGGTCGCTTGCTAAACTCCGTGCTGTTTGCTTTGAAGGATAATGGATGAAAAAGTCGACTGCAATGGAAAAAACTCGACTTTTACGGTTTAGGTACTTGAATTTGATGCTTGTTGATATTTGATATGTTTGCAGAGCTGCAAGCTCACAGAAAACTTAAGTCTTTTTTGGATTTAAATAATTTTAATGACTTAAACCATCATTCAGAACCTCGCAATTAGTGGAATAAATTAGTGGTTTCAATTAGCGTAGAAGTTTGGTCCTATAATTTCAATGTAAGCATTCAGAATGTCAAAATTAGTGGTAGACATTTTCATTTACCTAGTAGGAAAAGTTTTCAAACTTTTAACTTTTTACTAACTACTAAATTATACTTCAAAATCCGCAAAAAATATCATTTTGGCCTTTGATTATCTCCCGTCAAGAGAAATTGTGGTTAGAAATCAAAATTTGATTGTTTTATCAGCTAAATATTAGTTTTTTTAATGGATACAACTGACTAATGAAAGCTGTTGCTAGGATATTCCGTTTTTAATTATGTTTTTTAAATATTGTGAATGATCGTAAACTCAAAAGTATAAATTGTAATTGAAACCAGTAATTGCAATGTTCTGAATGAAGCTTTAGTAATTTGATTTTAAGTAATTTTTAGAAAGCTGACTTAAGACTTAAAATTTAAGTCTTTTTCAAAATGATTTGTGATTCAAACCTTTATTCCGAAATAGAAAAATCTTTTCCTATTTCGGAAGATTAAAGAGATTCTTTTTAGAAAAGATTTATATTAAAGATTCTTTTTAGAAATTTAGAAACAGATTAAAGAGATTCTTTTTAGAAAAGATTTATATTAAAGATTCTTTTTAGAAATTTTAAGATTCTCTTTAAGTCTTTTTATGAAAGACGAACAAAAGAAATTTATCTCCAATACATTGAAGACTACTTTAAAATCCTCCAGCTCTCAGCTTATGCAGTCGATATATTTTACTAGGGCTGGCATTTCTGGTCTTGGGTGCCGATTTTCGTGTATACGAAGAGTACGGTCAACACGCTTAGCAAAATAAGGTGTACTGAATAAAGATAGAAATCAAGTATTTTCCCAAGCGCATTGAATCTAGCGTCAGATTAAGTGGTTATTTAATAAATACTTCGTATTTTTGCTCTCTCCTCCGACTTACTAGATTGCCATAGCGATTAATTCCTGTGCATGTAAACGCCGACCCAAGATTCCGCTTGCCAGCAAGGTATAGTGATCAGGGCCATGTAAGTGAAATATTAAAAATGGTACCAGCAAAAGTTTCCCAATTATGACGGGTGATGGCGCTGATCGTCAAAATTTTTGTACAGGGATTTTGCTTACCGACAATACAACGTGAGCTACGACCGGACCAGGACCAATCAGAATGATCAGTCCTGTGGATCAGTCTTTCTTGGACATTTGCCGCGGAAGTGTGTGTTAATTTCTGTTGGTGTTTTTTCTGTTGCGGTCAGTGTGGTTGTGTTTGCAGTTTGACTTTTCGGTTTTGATATTATGTTAAAATTAATTTTGAAGTATTGTATCACCTGTTTTTATGTAATAGTACTTTTTTTAGTTCTATGATCTGATATGTTATGATTTGTTAATGTTTGTTTAACAATGTTATACCGTACTTAACATATCAATTTGCCTAGCCTAACTTTTTTATCAATAAACTTTGTAGATTTTCAGATTATTTAATTCCTTTTGTTTCCGTTTGTAATTTTATTTTTAAGACATATTATGTGATTGTTTCACATAATATGTTTTAAAAATAATATTGCAAATAGCGAATAAAAATAATTAAAATAAAAAAGTGTATTTTACAATTCCCCCCGGCCCCGCACCTTTTGGCTAACCTGTAAATGTCAGCTTTGTCGAGAGATGACGTTACTAAAATGGAACCGATTTATTACAAGGAACTTGGGCTTCTTTTTGTTAGTATATTCTGTGATAGTGATCAAAACACATCACCACTCTTTAAAATACATGTATTCGATGACATCTAAATTGTAATGGATACATGTAAAATATTACAACATTTGTTAAATTTTATAAAAAAAAACATATTTTTGTGTCTGTAGTTGTTCTAACAATTAACCGTTTTATTTTATGTGGTTTTAGTCTCATCTGCATCTACAATAAATTAATAATATGATACTTACTAAGAAAATCGCTAATTGGCAATACAAGAAAATTAATATTAACATATAATAAAGGTACTTAAATAGAATTGTGGTTGTCTTGACTTGAATGTATTTGATTTAAGTCATTTTACTAACTTAACTTGCAGATCATCATGATTTAAGTCAAAAATATTGGCTTAAGTCGTAAAACGACTTAAATAACGTTATATTGATTTAAGTCTATACAAAAATTAAGTCAAAAACTTAAGATTTAAATCATTAGAACTTATGTTAAATTTGACTTAAATCATTTTGATTTTAAGAAGAACTTAAGACTTAAGGATTAAATCTTTTGAAACTGACTTTTTGCAGCTCTGTATGTTTCGATTTCGAATATTTTTTTTTATGTGCCAATCATATTTAACAATGTTCTCTATTGTTAAGATCGTCTGTCCTTAAATATTACTTTGTTAAACTTTGACAAACCTTTTAGAACTGGATGCACACTAATCATTATTTTTTTATGATGACATTATTGTTGACTGATTTTATTTTCTGCATTACGAACTCAAAATCCATTATTAATTAAATAATTAGATTTTTGTATTGTCCATATATATAGGCTGTCAATCGAACTTTAGCAATAGCCATCGTGATGGTCGTCAAAAAAGTCATCCGTATCCTTCCAAATACTATCGTATTCTTCTTTATATTCTGAAAGATTTGGAAGGGAAGTTGCTTGCTAAGTGACTTCTCCTTATTTAAGTAGAGATATTTTAGAACATTATAATAACCATTAAATATTTATTAAAGTATTTTTTTGTAAGGAAAACTGTCCTGTAATAATGTTACACCATTAATAGTCTTTTGACTTTCAAAAAAAATCTAAACCAACACGATTTTCCGAATCTATTCCTCTGAAAAAAAGTCCGTCCAATGAGTTAGGAAAAATTTTGACAGACGATATCCAAAAAATAGTATACAACCAACGATACACTCAGGTAGATCTAAACCAATATCTAAATAGACATCACAAGGTTAAGTACCTAAATAGAACCCTTTCTCGGTACTGATGTTGAAAAAGTGTTACCTAGATGGCGCCTAAGGCACAAATCACCCATTATGAATTCTTCATCCTAGATGTCGCAACCGCATACTTCTCGCCGAACATACTTTGAAACCCGAATTGAAACATTCAAGTAGCGTTCCAATCGGCAAGATCATACTTCACAGGATCATTTCTGTAGTATATCTTCGCAATCTCTCTACTCAAAAGTAGAGTTGTCGCAACCATGAGGATGAGACACAGTTTCATCTCCTGAGCGTGAGATATGACTTTGACGGACTCTTTTTTGAGTTGGTCAATGGTCGCCGATGATCGTTCAACCTGTCGCTTGCGATGGGGTATGGAGGTGAGACAGTCTGAGTGGTTGCTCTTTTTAACAAATTGAAAATTAAACTTTTTATTACTTTTAAATATTGCAGTGATTAGTGTAGTTATTTATTTCTAAAACTCTGTCTGTACTGTCCTTAGATTTATCTGGCTTCATTTAATGTATATACGTTAAATTTATTACTTAATTATACTAAATAATATAAATATAATATAAATTTATTTACTTAATTACTTATAATATATACGTTAAATTTATTACTCAATAGGGAATATTCAAATCAAATCTTAGACTAGACTTTTATTGAAAATTCAATTTCAATCAAATTCTAATGTGGTAAACTAAGTTATTCTTATTATTATTAGTATTTTAATAAAGCACGCTTTTAGATGTTTCAAAAAACTTTTAATAAGAGTAACTTTAACTCAACATATATGTTTCGGCTTGTTAGGCCTTTTCAAGACAGAAACATGACAGATCGTATACTGCTGAGAGGGCAGCTAACAAAGTTCTTGGGCTGTGGAACGTTGTGTATTATTTATTCACTGCTGGACGCGGGGTAGTTTATGTAGTCGATAATGGCAAACATAAATAATAAATATGAGCGGCTGGACAACAAACGACACGTCACGAGAATAGAGTAGGGAAGGAGGTAGGAAAGCGCTTGTTGACCTCCAAACTGTTTGTTTTGGCAGATAATGGATGAAAGGGGATTGCAGTGGCAAAAAAGCTCATTTGAACTGGTAAAATATAGGGCTGTTTTATTAAAAGCAATTATTGACATTTGATAATGGATTCTTTAAAACAGAATACAAAGGTTTATTTGCAAAATATACAGTTGTATTATGGCATTAAATTAGTTAGAAAAAAGTAACTAATTTATAGGATATAAATAATTAGAAGATCTTAGCCAACTTGTTGAAAATGCACTAAAATTAAAATTAATTTTAGAAGAGTATAAGTTGGCCTAGCTCCAACTTACAAACATGAACAAACATAAATGAGGTTATGCAAAAAATCTCTTTGCATTTACTGTATTTGTGTACGACTATACCTGAGTCGCCTCGACTTAGGTTATATTTAATCCAAGAAATACCCGTCTTATTCGACAGTAAAGCAGCTTTAAAAGCAATTAACTCAGTAACTATCAATTCGAAGTTGGCCGAGGAATGTCTAAAGAAGATAAAAAAATTAGACAAAGAAAATAAGGTCCTCCTACTATGTGTGCCAGGTAAAGTCGGGTCGGGCTGGCTATATGATCAGAGAGGCGATTGCCAGCTAGGCATGTTCAGTCTTGCGGTATACCGGTACCAGGACCGGTACTTTCAAAATATTCTGGTATCGGTATCGACTTTTACAAGACCGGTATACCGGTTTAAATCAGTCCCGAAAGACCGGTTTCAATCAATACTGGAAGACTGGTTTCAATCGGCACAGAAAAATATATTCATGATAATATGAAAATCAAAAAAACTGTATAAAACGATTTAGGTACCAGTTTTTGTGCAATGTTGATTGTATTATTTTACTATACGTACCGTATGATCGAAAAAAACTGCGTCAGCGATGGCTATAAAATGAAGATCGCTGTCATTTTTTATGCAAAATTATAATTTTGGGGGAATGTAATCGATGTTCATTTCCAAGCCTCTGGACGCCGTTTTTTCAATCATTCGGTATAATACGGTCGGGAACATGCAATGTAATTTATTTTGATGTATGTTTAAGGCATGGCTAGTCAGTTTGGTCTAGTAATCTAGTCTTCTTTTTTTATTACATCTAAAATTCAAGTAAAACATCTTACTCATGGATCACTCATGTATATTATATAAATTAAAATGTCAGTAAAAATCAGGCCGATATTCAATAGCGTCTACTCTATTATTTAAAATATGTAAAATAGCATCTTCTTTCCGATCCCTTTATATCTCCAAAAACAGCAGCTTCCAGTACTTTTTCCATTTTTCATATGTAAGGAGAATGTTGGACAAGAAATCAAAAATATGCCGGAAATGTGAACAAAAACAATGAGAATCTTAAGTTAGATCAATAACGTTATAACGGTAACGGATAGATTTATGATATATTCCGAGAAGTCTATTTTATCCCTTATCGTATTTACCTAATGTTACAGGCACGAGAACTTTTGATTTACATTTTTTAATACGGCATCATGAGGTATATGTTTACTGGAACAACAACCAAAACTGTTATTTCTCAAACTGTCTTTCCGATATTCCAGTCCATTCGGTCTTTCGGTCCAGACGGTATACCAAGGGCCTATTTTACCATAAGGCCCGGGCCTTGGGCCCGGTGGTCTGGGGGGCCCGTTAAAGGTTGTAAAATATTCATAAATTCTTGAATTTTTGAATTTTATTGGAAAAGAGGGCCCGAATTTTTGCTTGGGTCTTAGGGCCCGACCAGATGAAAAATAGACCCTGGGTATACCGGTTCAGTATCGGTCCCACCAATCTAATTTTTGGAACCTATATGTAAAATAGTTCATTATTTATTATTGAATAGAAATAAAACAGAAAAAAGTGAAGGTAATATTCTGAGGTAATTCCCACAACTTTTTTTTTTATTTAAAATATTTACATTTGCATTGTATTACGGGTAGTTTCCTGATTTCAAAAACTAACAACGAATCAATAAGGAAAAATTGACCAAAACTTACGGTGAAAAATACGTAAAAATATCCACCCAGACCCCTCCTCACAATGCCACCCGGGTCCCTCTGGCCTAGTCCCACCCTGTGCCAGCCCACCAAGAGATAGAAGGTAATAAAAATTAATCGATCTAGCTAGAAAAAGGGCAAACACTCCACTAACTGGAGTAGAACCGTTCTTTTTCTTGGAAGTGAACCAACTTTAAGCAAAACTCAAGAACATGGAAGAAGACTTGAGGACAGTCCTCTTCCATGTCTTCTCAATGCACACCACAATAGATAGAAGCAAAGAAACAATTGTGATTGCAGATTCTGTGGATAAAATGTGGAAACACTAGAACAATTTATCACTGAGTGCGCCGAGACTACAACTATTCGTGCAATAAACTTTGGTACAACTGATTACGGAGATAGAGAATTAACGTAAAAAACCTGTAAAATCATGTCAGATACTGGCTTTTGCTAGCCCTGAGACTGTATGATGAATTATAACTCAAGAAAAGGGGACACATTAGATCTATAAGGTTAGGTTAGCTTTTTACAATCTAGGTCATATTTAAAAGTTTAACTGATAATAATTGAATTATTCCTCACGGGGAGAACGTTAATGTATAGGTAGCTTTCGGATAATCGAAAAGAAAAGAATAAGTCTGCGAAAAACGTAGAGCGGAAAATTGATTAAAATGGATATAACCTCCAGATTTAATTCAGATTTACGGCGACGGAAAGGGCCATAAATTATTTATGAAAAGCGTAATGTAAATTAATGCGCTCATGATAAACCTATTTTAAGGGCTGCATTGTTGCTAAAATATTGACCCAATTAATATGAGCTCTGATCGAGCCAATAACTGTGTGTATCTATATTGGAAACAAATTATTTTCCATTATAACTTAATAGAATTACATTTTTCTAGATAGACTAGCAAGAAGAGTAAAAAATATATTTTTGTACTATGAAAAAATATGATTAATAATGAGTAAAAAATAACAAATTCAAAGAGTTTGAAGAAAACCAATATAAATTAACAAAATATATATTAAAAAAAATCCAAAATGTATTAACTTAAAAAAACACTGATTCACCACAATACACCAAAACACTATACTTTTAACACTGAATGCGTGTTTTGTTAAACATATTAGCAGCATCAGCAGAAAGTATTTTGGTGTATTGTGATGAATAAGTGTTTTATTTTATTGTTGTAAGATCAAAGGTTCTCTTCGCAATTAACCTGCTGAATTTACAGGGTAGCCCATCGAAAACGTTCCGCAAGGCATAACGTCCAGGGTATTCTTTTTTTCAAAAAATCCAAAAACACGTCAATTTTTTTTTGAGGGGGACAACTTTTATCCCAAAAATGATTGCAAAATCTTCAACTCTCTGAGCGGGGGTATCATCCTCCAACTTTTTTTCAAATGGGAAGGGGGGTCAAGTGGCGCCGCAATGAAAAAAGCTTTCTATTCTCTATATTTTCCCGCCTCGTTTTTGAAAATCTTTGAAAAAATTTGAAAAAAGGATCGAAATTTGAAAAGTTTATTTAAACATTTATCAGAGTAAATGATAAGAATAAATGCCTTTGACCAATATGAGTTTTTTTCTTATTATTTCTAGATGTTTACGCATTTCTTCACTTGCCACAAGGTTGAACAATCAGGTGCGGTAGTTGCTAGATAGCTCAATATCGTTAAACTTTTTAACAATTATTATGGTGTACTCACTTGCAGAAAAAGTGGAAATAATCGAACTTTATTTTAAAAATAATGAATGTGGCAATCGGGTTGCGCAGATATTCAATGAACGCCATCCTGACAAACACCTTTATGGCAAAATTGTTCAGTGATAATTCATAAATTTTGAATTATTGTTGTTATATTACAATTAAAATCAGACAATATCAATTCAATTTATATTCTAGTATTCTAAGTTTTGTCGACTGGAAGGTTAGTACCGGTATCGGAAATAACCTTATGTATTAAAAGTTAGGTGTATAACTTTTAATACATAAGGTTATTTCGTAATTTTTCATTTTTTTCCTTTGGTTATAAACTTAAAGCTAGTTAAAATTAAAAAAATTGAAGTTTGTGAAACTTCAAGAAGTGCCTTAGAATTTTTATGATCTGTCAATGAGTCTCTGTGAAATAAAAGAATTTTGGCATGCAATAATTCATAAACTATGAGGTATATTACGAGATATAATGGCAATATAGCCAGCTATAGTTTGTCCTCTGGACTAGTCAAAATTAATATTCTTGCTTTATCCGTTCTTGGTTACCTACAACGAAGTTGTAGGGGGGTTAAAAGTGTCTTGAGTTGATGGATGAAAAAGGATGGTACGGCTCTGCTCGAGTGCACTGCCTGGCCCCAA